TTCTTTTCCAGATTTTTCCGACGCTAAAAAACATAGCAGCCTGTCAGATTTACCAAAAAAAATCAATCATTTCCACACAGACTCGCTTCTTTTTCCAGGTATTTCTAAAACTAAAGGACATATGGACATGAATCTCTCATGAATCGAAAGAAGAGCATGCACCCTTTCAGATGACACCACGATTGTCAGATCTGAAAGAATTTTTGAGTTTTCAGAATAGGATATATGGAGCTGTTTTTGAGCCGGGGCTGAACATGGCAAGTGCGAGTATGTGAGATTTACGCAAAAAATCGAGCATTTCCACACAAAATGGCGCTTTCTTTTCCACATATTTCCGAAACTAAAGGACATATGGACATGAATCTCTCATGAATCGAAAGAGGAGCATGTGCCCTTTCAGATGACACCACGATTGTGAGATCTCAAAGATTTTTTTATTTTTGAGAATAGGATATATGGAGCCTTTTTTGAGACGGGGCTGAACTCGGCATGTGCGAGTATGTGAGATTTACGCAAAAAATCGAGCATTTGTACACAAACTTGCGCTTTCTTTTCTAGATAGTTCCGAAACTAAAAAACATATGGAGATGAATCTTGCACGAAGCGAAAGAGGAGCATGTGCCCTGTAAGATGACACCACGATTGTCAGATTTAAAAAAAATTTGATTTTTCAGAATCCCATATACGGAGCCTTCTTTGAGTTTGGTTTGAACACGGGAAGTGCGAATATGTCAGATTGGCGCAAACAAATCGAGCATTAATTTTTGTACACAAACTCGCGCTTTCTTTTCCAGATAGTTCCGAAACTAAAAACATACGGAGATGAATCTTGCACGAAGCAAAAGAGGAGCATGTGACCTGTAAGATAACACCACGATTGGCAGATCTAAAAGAATTTTTGATTTTTCAGAATCGCATATACGGAGCCTTCTTCTCCCGAGCTGAACTCGGATAGTGGAGAGCCTGTCAGATTTACGCAAAAAAATCAAGCATTTCCACACAAAATCTCACTTTCTTTTCCAGGTATTTCTAAAACTGAAGCACATATGGAGATGAATCTCTCATGAATCGAAAGAAGAGCATGTGCCCTTTCAGATGACACCACGATTGTCAGATCTGAAAGAATTTTTGATTTTTCAGAATAGGATATATGGAGCCTTTTTTGAGCCGGGGCTGAACTCGGCTAGTGGACAGCCTGTCTGATTTACCAAAAAAAATCAAGCTTTTCCACACAAACTCGCGCTTTCTTTTCCAAATTTTTCCGAAACTAAAGCACATATGGAGATGAATCTTTCATGAATCAAAAGAAGAGCATGTGCCTTTTCAGATGACACCACGACTGTCAGATCTGAAAGAATTTTTAATTTTTCAGAACCGCATATACGAGCCTTCTTTGAGTTTGGCTTGAACACGGGAAGTGCGAATATGTCAGATTTACGGAAACAAATCGAGCATTTTGAAAGAATTTTTGCTTTTTCGGAACCGCATATACGGAGCCTTCTTTGAGTTGGGCTTCAACACGGCAAGTGCGAGTACGTGAGATTTACGCAAAAAATCGAGCATATCCACACAAACTCGCGCTTTCTTTTCCAGATATTTCCGAAACTAAAGCACATAAGAAGATGAATCTCCCACGAAGCGAAAGAGGAGCATGTGCACTGTAAGATGACATCACGATTGTCAGATTTAAAAGAATTTTGATTTTTCAGAATCGCATAAACGAAGCCTTCTTTTTCCAAGCTGAATTCGGATAGTGGAGAGTCTGTCATATCTACCCCCAAAAAATCAACATTTCCACGCCAACTTGGGATTTCTTTCGCCAATATTTGCGAATTTAAAGCACATGCGGAGATGAATCTATCATGAATGGAAGAGAAGCACGTGCTCTTTAAGATGACACCACGATTGTCAGATCTAAAAGAATTTTTGATTTTTCAGAATCGCATATACGGAGCCTTCTTTGCGCGGGACTGAACTGTGATAGTGGAGGACATGTGAGTTACGCAAGAAAATCAAGCAGTTGCACGCAAACATTCGCTTTCTTCGGCAGATTTTTCCGAAACTAAAGCACACATGGATAGGAATCTTCCATGAATAGAAGGAGGAGCATGTCCCAGTTCAGATGACACCACGATTGCCCTTTCAGATGACACCACGATTGTGAGATCTGGATAATTTCACATCCTTCAAGATCGAATATAGGCCTATATGGTGCTTCTTTGTGCAGGGCTGAACTCGGGTATTCCACTGGCACATTCACTCTGACAGCGGTATAAGATCTACAGTAGCCTATCGACAACATGGGGTGGGGTGGGGTTATAGCAGCCATACTTTAACCACGCTTCAACTAGTAGCATGTTATAATAATATAAGATTAAATCAGTGCTCTGAAATATATGAATGCCGAGCTTTCTGTAACTGAGTACCTTCTTCAGGGCAAGCAGATTCAGTTCTGAATGGAGGAAAAATCCCCGTTCATTCCCCCTGGATGCAACTAGCGTTTCAAGTTCGAATCGCACGCTGTACGTCGGATGACCCACGAACAACAAATCGAGCTGTTCTTGAGCACATGGTATGGGAACAAACCGTCGCCCGAACTCGGCCAAAGATCGTATAGCGCCGAAGGTACCGCCACGCGGCGCTATACGATCTTTGGTTATAACTAAGCAATACTGTGACGACATAAATTATGCGTCGCTGCACCTGTCGGGAGCCCTGCCTGACTTACTTCCGACGAAAGAGGGGCTGCTTTCGCTTTTCAAAATGGCGCCGCCTGTGGTCCGCATGTGATACTACTAGGCCGGGTTTTTCAAGGCGCCATACGTCGGAAATTTACGACTTTGGAAAGCTTTCGGGTGCTCGTATGAAAGTCCAAACTCTGAAGAATACGCCAGTGTAAGTAAAATTGTCGTGTCATTGTCATTTCAGAAGATATTAGGATTCAAAGTATGTGACAATCCTGTAGTTTAGATTTCAGGCATTTAAGACATGTCTTGAAAGTTGAAGGGTGCAGACCACTAATTCAAGTGAGAATTTCTGACCAGCTCATTACTAGCATTAAAACTGCCCCCACCCACAGTATCTTTTGAAAAAGGAGATTGTTTGGCCCCCAAAATGATTAGATTGTGTAAATCGTTGCCGGGATCAACTCCCTGGGTCTTTGAGCTTTCATATGAGAGCAGAAGAGCTAAAAACTAAGGTTGAAAAATGGTCCTAAGTACTAAGTGCCCCAGAAAGTTGAGGGTTGCCACTTGAAAAATGGCTGCAATGAGACTTTGTAAAAATCACTTTTTTGGGGGTGATTTTGTTCTGTGGTAATAATTAAAAATGTAATTGGTTAACCCACAAAAATTGATAAGAAATTGAAAGATAAGTGACCAGACAAGAATTTAATTTGTGTTTCAGAAATCTCAGGGATGTTGGCGTGCATGTTATTGGGCCCTGAACAGTGCTGATTTTACACTGTTTTCAATGGGGCTTGAATTAGTGGACTGGACCCTGAAGTAGGGCTGTGGTGGCGACATTAAGAGACATTGTAAAAGAGAGCTACTACAGCCCAATTTGTTGGGCCAATTATAGGCGTGCTGGCCAAGGACATGTACGTACATGTAGTAAGAGTGTTTTGTCCCAATTTTATCAAGTTGATGGCTCTATTTTCGAGTCAGTGGATTTTCCCAAGAGGGCAGATGGATTTTTAAAATTTTCTGTAGACTGAAAAGGATGAGTGATGGAACTGTTCCATCTGATTTTAATCTCACTCTTATTTTTGTCTAGCCTTTCTCTTCATCTGCAGTCACAAGATGACAGAGATGAACTGTGGAAACAGTGATGCAAAGCGACATTGCACTCGTCGGAGAATAGGAACTCACAATGGAACTTTCCACTGTGATGAAGCCCTCGCTTGTTTTCTACTGCGTCAGCTGCCAGAGAACAAAGATGCAGGTACATGTACACTGCCATGCTTTTGCTGATACACTTGTAGCTTTGTTTATCATGGGGAAGGGGTTGGTTCTGGATTTTCTCTTTTTACAGAGATTTTACATCTCTGAGGTCCTAACATTTATGGCAACGTCAATTCATCACACTGCCATGTCAATGCATAAATGCTTTTGAGTAGTTTTGATAAACATGCACAAGTACATGTCCATGTAGGTTTGTGGACCAGAGTACATTTTGAGCTGAATTGAAATCCAGGCAAATGCAACTTCAGGTAAATCAGGTACACGAATTTACAGTAAAAACATATTTTGTTTGCTCTGGACTGTGCTATCGTTATCAATTTTAACCACTTCCTGCAGGGGAACCCCATTTTGGGCACCATGGGTTTATACGCAGAGTCGGGCTGCCGGAAATGGGACAAAAGAGCTGGTCCTTGTAAAAAAAGACACATACTCAAAACAAAAGACCTGCTGCTGGGCATTGCCATCATTTTTCGGCTTGCATTTTTCGTAATTCTGTCGCTGTTTTTAAACAGTATACCACTGTTTTGGGCATAGTGTGGCCACGGATTAGCACCATGGACAAGAGCATTCCAGGGCCACATTGATGAGTGACTCATGCAGCAGCCCTGCATGCTGATCCGCATTTGAAAAGACGCCACTCGCATTCACTGGGAACAAAGGAAATTATGCAACACCTCACCATTATCTTTACAGGGCTTTGAAAGCACCAGGCAGAAAGTGGTTAAATGAATGAACTGTGAATGAAACATGAACATGTGATGATTTTGCTTGAACAGTATGCTTTGCATAATATTCTTGATAACCTGCATCTAAACACATCGTGATAAGCATAATGGAGATACAGTACACTTGTATATGTAAATCTCTTAAAGTCACTGATTGTCAATATTTTTGTAGCCCCAGATCATCCTTGATTTGAATTGAATGTCCCTCTTCAATCTAAAGCCTGTTCAAAATCAAATCTTGTCTAAATCAGTGGCAAATGATGCCCATAAAGCCTGTTGAAAAGTTAAATCTCATCTGAATTAGTGGCAAATTATGTTCTCTTCCAAGTAATCCAACTGAAGTCTGTTGAAAAAGCGAATCTCATCTGAATCAGTGGCAAATGTTGTTTCATCAATATTTTCGCATTTTCCACAAATTTTACGACTATTTTTCAGATTTTCTACTACGTTCATTGTAGTAGCATTTTTGTCATAAAATTAAACAACATACAGTACATGTACCTGTAGGGCTTGCTTTTTAATTATGATCATGATGTTGAAAAAAGGCATAGATCAGGTATTTGGATAACACATTCGGAAAAAGATGAGTGTCTACGAATTAAAAGATAAGGTTATAAATAAGGCAGTTTGCTTGAGTGCACTGTGATACGACAATTAAGCACAAGTGGGAAGGGGCGACGTGATGACATCACACCGGTACTTTGCCAACAGAACCTTTAGCAGTTTACTTTTTTAATACCCAAATAATGTACATAATTACATTTACATGTATGCTTCTTTTGCAGAGGTTTTGACTCTCGTTTACTTTGGCTTATTTTACTTTGCTTTCCTGTATCCAGCATTCTTTCATCATGTTGCTCCATTTTTCCCTCAGAAATAATACGAACAAGGAATCAGGCAGTTCTAGATATGTGTGATATTGTGGTGGATGTTGGTGGTGTCTATGACCCCACCAAGCACAGATATGATCATCACCAAAGGTATGTACTTTATAGGTGAACATAGCCAGTAATCACTTTGTGGATATTTTCGAAAAACCTTCACAAGTCACTAACAAAATAATGCCCAGAATTGGAAGATGCAGTATAAAAGTATTGCCAATATATTAAAAGAGTAGGTCTGCCATTAAAAAATACCCAAAAAATGGCATGCTGTTCTTTGAACGTTGGCGAAGTGTTTGGTCATGAAACCCATGTTTTAACGACTCTCATGGGACGATTAAAACCAGGTGCATAATGAAAAACCCCCTGTTTCTGTTGCAAGCTCTGAAGGTCTAGGCATTATGTGTGTTTCAACGTTAGGCATCATTTGCGAATTCCAGCTTATGGTCGCATATCATTCGCAAAGAGGGGCCCACAGTTTTGCAAACAGTGCTTTGTGTTTCTCCCTTACTTCGGTGGCTGAGTCTTCGTGAATTGGCCTTACCCTTCGCGAAAAAAAGGACTCCCTGGACAAGTGTTACTTTTGAGATTGCACCCAATTCGGGAAGAATTCTTTGCAGTAAATTGATCGCAAAAAGGCCCCATATTTCTGAGCAGTACTGTATAATACAATTTGCAACTCAGAAAAGTGATAGGGCATAACAGTTCTGTCTTTGCAGAGTCTCTCTTCAGGAAAGATTGTGCAATGATTTGAACATAGGCTGTCCAAACTTTTTTTTTTCAATTAAAACCAGCCATGATGAAAAGACAGGTTCAGAAAGGCAACAAAGGGCCATCAAAGAATACTTAACAGATGTCTTTAATCAAAGAGGATGAGAGCCTTGGGATGATGTAGTACTGACGCTATTGAATGAAGTGACATGGTTCGTGGTTAGAGTACACATACATGTAGCTCAACATGACCAACTTGTGAGGTTCCCTTTGTTTGAATGGCAATGATGGAAACTGTAATAGTCATAACAAGATTTATACCACACATGTTCATAAGATACAATGCAGGAACAATGAAACTAGAGATGGCAAATTCAAATTTGTGAAGGGAAAACATTGGTTTCCCTTTATTCATACTTGTAAATAGTGCTATGAAAATTAATTTGAATAATTGGCTATTTGAACACTTGACCTTCAATTCTAGCAAATATTTGGCCGTACTGGCTGGCAGATTGTTGGTGAACCATAAGTCGCAATAAACGCACATACCTTTAGGATCTCAAGCCACAATTTAGCAAAGATTTAACAATATTGTTGCAATAAATCATGTTCCCGTCACCACAATTTGTGCCATATCCATATCTTCCTCTTTGGACCTCCAGTTGTTCAATTTCAAGCGTAAATATTGTCATGACGGTTTTGTCATATTTTATTTAAACAAAGTTTGCGCCATTAGTACTAAGAATACTACCTTAACACAGTCATATTTGTTTTTAAAGCTATTTTCATATTCTAGGGCTGTTGGACTACATGTACATGTATCAGCTGCCTTCAAGTGTCTGGAATCTGCTTGAAACAAGCCCCCATAGTGTGATTTTTCTCATTTCAGAAAGAAAATTCTTCCTTGTTTTTCATGAATTTTGCGTTCAAATGTTAAAAAATAGCAATCAAGTATTTGATAATCCATCAAATATTTGGAAATTTGGCAGAGTTCTATTCGTAAAATTGTCAAAAGAGCTGATTTATTGAGCAGAGTTATACTTTTAAAAGTTTTTTCCCATGATAAGGAAATGTACCAGTAGCAATGAAGAGTCATATTCTACACTTTACCTTTGTTTTAACTTGAATTTGTCATATTCTACACTTTACCTTTGTTTTAACTTGAATTTGTTCGTGTTTGAATATTGGAATTACCTGAAGACAATCCAAAATGATTGTTACTTACATGTACTAGCTGCTTTTGATTTATGCAATGTAAGTACTGTAGGTGAATATCTCTCATCTCACTTGCCTTTTTACATGTGCATCATCACAGATTATTTGTGTTCGTTAGGGACATTATGTTCCTTAACCCTAATCCCCCTAGGCCTTTTTATTAGGTAGGAGCTGTCCAGGATCCTCTGAAATCCTCCGATTTTCAACTTTAAAAAAATTGCATTCAGCCCAAATCCTCCAAAGTCTCTTGAAAATGTCATTTGGAGGTGTGCCTAACTAGCAAAAATCCTTCAAAATCCTCTGGTAATTCCTTTCATTATGTTAAGGCAGTGTGAATGGCACTCTTGCGCTGTGCAGTTGATTCAAACGAAATAATGGGCTGAATTTGTGCTTGACTTGGTAAAAGCAACACAAGGTCTGATCCACGACCTTCATGTACATGCATGGGCATCCTTCAAAATCAGCCATGAGTTTTTGCCATACACCCTGAATCTTCCAAATTCCTCCACTTTGCAGAAAAGTTGAAAATCGGAGGATTTCAGAGGATCCTGGACAGCTCCACAAACATGGTTTTTTTTTGGCAATCGTGGGCGTTCCTATTGTCCTCTTTTGTTCATACTTAAACTTTTTTGGAAGGCCTCTAATATGTTTTGTACATGTTTGGCAATCATGGACGAATTGGGGATCGTGGACGATCATTAATTCTTTTGTTTAACGTCCACGATTGTTTGGGAACATCAGTGCATGTCTTCATGTACCTGTACATTGTAGTATTCCCAAATAACACACTCCTAATAAAAAGACTACAGTATACATGTATGCTTCTCTAAGCAGTAGTAGTGCCCTTTGTGAATACTGCTGTTGCAATGTCCTAATTCTCTTAACTACCTGTTGCTCTCATTTAGGTCATTCTCACATTCCATGAACTCACTTTGGCCTGATAAGCCATGGATGACCAAACTAAGCAGTGCTGGACTGGTGTACCTTCACTTTGGGGAGCGCATATTGCGATCCATCAAAAGCATTGCAGACGCAGATGACAGCAAGGTGCAAGCCATCTTTGACAAGGTCTACGAGAACTTTATGGAAGAGATTGATGCCATTGATAATGGCATTGCACAGTGTGATGAAAAACCAAGGTATTTCAAATCAATAGAATGACGGTACCTCTATGTGTACTCTCTCAGTGAGTGAAATGCAGTTACAGCTGTCAGGGGCCCGGTGCTCATATTGCTTTGAGTTGTGCGCATTTAGATGAAAATTAGTTGTATCCATATACATGTAGGACCACAGGCATTTAAAAGTAATATCAGATGCACTCTTTCCATCATTTGTGGCCTTTGAAATGAGTGCACTCAGTTCCTCCAACTGAATAAAAAGGATTACATGTAAGTACGAAGAGTAAAAGATGTTTTGTTCGTCACATGACAAACACTGAGTTTTCCAGCCTTTTCTCATTGTTAATGTGCGTGATAGATTTAAAAGTGGTACATGTATTTTAAATTTGTGTCTATTAACATCAACCTGGGTCCGTTGACATGCATTTTTAAGGTGACACGACAGTATGAACATCATCTCCCCTTAAAATTCCCTAAAGTTAAAAACTTGTGAAAACTCCCTGGCAAGATTACAAGTACATGTAAAAAACCCTTGGAGATTAATTTCATGACAAAATGATACATGCATATCAAGGGATTTTTAAAGGGGAAATACATGTACGTGTATGTTCATAGTGTAATATGCCAAATGGTTTCATGACATGATGTCACAATAAATTTTTTGTAACTTTAATTTTGTAATCTTGTAATTGTAAATTTTCTTGTCTGAAAATACCAACATTCCATTTGATTGCAATTTATTAGATATTAACCTGGGAGGAGTGCACCTTTAAGGTTGTGTCATTTGCTACATGACACTACCCTTAAATATTTGTACCATCATTTTCACGTATATGTAGAACATTCTTCCACCTTTACACATGATAAATCTTAATTTTATAAAATAGATACTCATTGGTGAAGTATACGGTACATCTTTAAGGAAGTCTTACATGATATCCTACAGTATGACACTTTCAAAGGATACACATGTCCTCCTTATATTTATGAGGTTGAAACACCAGCAAAATGGTACATAGAAGAAAATAAAAAGAAAAAATCCAAAATTGGATCCAAAAGTGCATTTACATGTAAAGTAATTATGTCATCACATCTTCACATGATAGATTTATCATAAGGAAAAAAATCTTTAATCATCCCACAAATTTTCAAGGACTTTCCTTTGTGCAAAAAATTGTAAAAAAAAAAATTTATTACATCACGTGAGTTAACCAAATTTTCCAATTAGTCAGTACATCTACATGTACCTGGATAACCAAAGCATTGGGAAAAAAGGATTTTCGTTTTGTTGAGGAAAAAGTTGAAATGAATGAAATTTAACAAACATTCATCCAGTTTGCACATGTACACACATGCTCAGCTACCTCTTTTTCCTTTTAGGTATTTGATCACAACCAATCTGAGTTCCAGGGTCAAGCACCTCAATCCAGATTGGATGGACCTCAACCCTGATGAAGAGGTAATGAAACGTCTGAAAACAGCCAACTGACTAATCATGCTCAGATAGCTCTAACAGTCCCAAACTCTCTGATTTTACATACACCCAAGGGGGGTTAGGATTAATAACACTCTCGTTGCTCAAAATAACAAGATTTATATGAAAAATGTACAACTCTTTTAGAGGGAATAAAAAAGTTCTTCAGCAGTGGCAGAACTTCAGGATTTGTACCCTTTACCGATTGCTAATCTTTACATTATCGGTGGTTATGACAAAGGAAACGCAAAAACTGTTTTAAAATGGTAGTATGGTAGGAGCCAATTTTACAACTGTTCAGTGATTAAGGTAATAGTGGAAAGGAACAGCCATTGCAGTGACCATCCTTGTCCAAGAGGCCATACATGTTGTTGCAGTAGGGAATTGTTTGGCCAATGATGACAGTACATGTACATGTATGTCATGCATGCCTTGTATGCAAGATGACTCATCTTGAGGTGGCTCAAATCATTGGCTACATGTATAGTTGTTATTTTTTATCACATTTTTGTACTGAAGGTTTGGGTTTCTCAATTTGTCATTCCTTTGAGGCAAAACCAAATCAACTGAACTTACATGTACATGTACATGTTAGTCAGACCCTTTTAAGTGGCCTTCACAACTTTTGAAAGCCAACTTGATTTCCTCTGCTTTGTTCCAAGGGTGGCTTCCAAAAAGCTATGGAGCTGACTGGCTTAGAATTTCTGGACAGAGTCAACTACTACAGCAACAGCTGGTGGCCGGCCAGGGAATTAGTGGAAAGTGCCATTGATAGACGTTTTGAGGTTCAGTGCGATTGCAAACCTTGTACTTAACTTTTAAACGTAGCAAGTTGAAGCAGGTGATGAGCTAGTTTGGTGTTCTAAAGAATCAAGGTTGTTCAGGAAAAAGGTACATGCACAAGTCTGCTCAGGGCTGTACTCGGAGCAGACCCTGGAAGGCCCTTATGCAGATCCAAAAGACACACTTTATTTTAGGCATGCCCTCTTTTAATTCTGAACTGGCTCATTAGCTACAATCCAGCCCCTTTTGTTGCTTTTGTTTGATAGGATTGAAGCGGGCGCTGTTGACATGGCTGCCATGATATTTTACTGTTCTTAAACAAGTTGTTTTTTATCTTTTTAAATCTTGTTCTGTTTTTCACATCATCATCTGAGTTTTTAATGAATGTGTGCCATGATATCTTGCTACATGTACATGTTGGTGAGATTATTTTAGCTTTTTGGTGATCAGAAAGTGTGATTTTTTGAGGGTACAATTAGAGGTGGCTACAACTGGAAATTGAACAACCAGGCAACAAATGTGGTGAGGGGGTTTAACTGAATGGGTTCAGTGTCAAAGGACTAACATCCAGGTCAAGTAATTTAAATTATGGGTAGATGTTTCTTGCAAGTTTGTGATATGAACAGTTCCCTGATGTTTTCAAATACTTCCCTGAGAGAGCATATACATGTATGCACCGCAGCTGGTAAATAAGATATTGGTGTCTCCAACTTTGCCCAGTTATTAAAACTAGTTACTGAGAAACCTGGTGCAAGAGAGCTGTTAGATAAATCACATATGACGAAAAGTACCCAAACTGAATTTTGTCAACTTCTGTGTTTAGAAACCTCCTTGAAAAATAGAAATTTGCTTTTCTATTTGTTTTCCTATCCATTTACTTACATTTTTTCACTTGATAATACACCAAATAAGGTTCTAGACAAAAATGCATCTGCACGTCATTAATTAGGTCAGTTGGTAAATAATGGTCTTCTGAAAGACATATACACGTACACATAGCAAGTTCCTTCAGCTATGAAACCAGTTATTTTCTGAATTTCTATCCTTGTTTTGATGGGATCTCTCAGGTGGATAGTAGTGGTGAAGTGTTAGTCTTTCAGCAAGGTGGATGCCCATGGAAGGAGCACCTGTTTGCCCTGGAAGAATCTAAGAAGATTGATAAATCCATCAAGTATGTCCTGTACACAGACCAGAATGGAAAGTGGAGGGTGCAATGTGTCCCTGTCTCCAGTAATTCATTTACCAACAGGTAGGGAATATGACTAAGTCATGGCCAGTCAGAATTTTTGATGATGGATGGCAATTCTTTTGGAGTAGGGATTAAGGAAGCCAAATTTTTATGCCAGGATTTTTACTTGGAAGTTCCTGCGTTTTTTGATAAAAAATGGCCCAACACAAAGTCATTTACAGAGAACGCATGGCTTGGATCTGATATTACATGTTCATCTAAGGGTATGCTACTCTTTTGTGGATGACAAGAGAAAAATGTCGTTGACATTGAATGTTAATTACAAATGCTTGCCTTTAATATTTGCTGTTGCTTCAAGGGGTTTGTAGACTGAGGTTGTGCAATATTAAAATGTTTTTCACTGAGATGCGAAATCCAAATTACAGTAAACTCCGACTAAGTCGTCATCGCATAATCCATCATATTGTCCAAGTCGGCCATTTGACAAAAGTCCCGACTGCATGTAATGCATTTCCATTCAAAATTCATTTCTAAGTCGGCATTTATACGTCGTCATTTCGTATATGTCGGCATGTTTCTCTTGGTCCCTTTTCTACAGAACCACAAAAAATTCCTTTGTGTAAGTCGGCATTAAAAAAAAACATGCTTCCGTATCGGATTCCTTCGCTGCGGTTGCCAAGGAGTGTCAAGTAACAAGTCCCGTGCGCGTGTCAGCATGAGTACATCAATACCAGTGACCCCTCTAGTGCTACACGCATGCATTCTGTCCATTTTGGGGGGATGCCTTATTGAACATAGTCTGGTTCCCTGCCCAAAGATTCCCGGACGACCCTTGATAATGATTCGTCGGGTAGTCAGAATCATTGGGTGTGGTATCCAAACTATATGGAACAAACTTAACCAATGCATATATATGGATGAGTGTGTTTTCTTTACCATAACTGTATCACATACATGAACCCTGTACGTACTGCACTATCGAGTCGCAATGTGAAATGCAACTTTGCAAGTGGCTTGCGAGAACGAATTTGCTGGGATCAACCATGGAGGTAGAAATAAACCATGGTAAATCAAAGCCATTGAATTAGTGCAAGGAATCATAATGTACATAGGCAATACATGTACATGTGTAAGTCGCCAAAAAGATGACTTATAACACAAGCTGGCATTCACGCAAGTCGTCGTAATTTCTTGAGTCCCGAGAGTACCGTCTTAGCTGGAGTTTACTGTATTTTAAACTGGCCAGGGTAATCCAGTAGTTTAGCCTCATTGTGTACCAAAAGGGAAGCATTTTAAAGAAATTCTAACATGCCTAAGAACTGACACCTATCTCTTTTTGTTCAACCAAGACTCTCATTATTGGAGAAGTGGTGTGGCCTCCGCAATGAGGAGTTGTGTGCCCTCTCTGGTATCGCAGGATGCATCTTCGTCCATGCCAATGGTTTCATTGGTGGAAATGAGACGTATGAGGGTGCCCTTCAGATGGCCAGAATGTCACTTGCCCAAGCCAAGTAGGAAGCATAGTTTCAGTTGAACTTGTTTAATACCCATTTAGAGCTAATTTGAAATTTGCATGTCTTCAGTATAAAAAGCCTAGGATTTTTCAGTGTCGGAAACACTCCGAGGGAATCAGGCCAGTATGGTGGAAAGGCAGACATCCAAAGAACTCACTGACAGGATGAACCTGTTTCATTTTATCAATTTCACTTCTGAGAGCTACTATAAATTGCAAAGCAACATTTTTAAGGAATAACAGTTGTTGAAATGAGTTTGATTTTGGTAGGTAAATGGTCCTCCCATGATTTATACTGGGTTTTTGAAATAGGGCATTTTTTCTGTAAATTATTGCGCTAACAAAACTGCATCAGAATAACAATGTAATGGAACTTGATTTTTAGGGGTCTATTCTGGTGTCGTCTTTTTGTCGCATGTCCCAGATGCAGCACTGAGTACAGATTCACGTTACCAGTAAACTCAATTCTAAAATAAATGTGTATGTATTTAACATTTTACCATTTGCAGGGCTTCCACTACCCTGAAATTGGTTTTCTAAGAATTAATAAAATGCATGTAGTGCAAACACCTGATGTCAATACAACATGATAACCAGGGTCATATATTTTCAAACTGGGTCAATGTTAATAAAAGACAACACAAACTGTAGAAGTTAAACATGTCATGATGGTTTTAATGTCTTTGTACATGGCACTACATATGAAATTACATATCCCTGTGAAAGGCAAGGGGTTTTATGCAGTTATGTAACATTGCATGTGATGCAGTTTGCCCTGTACAATTACTGAGGGACACAGTAACCAGAAGTGGTTAAATTACAAAAAAAAGACACCATTCTTTTCATTCTATCCCTCTTTTTATAATCAGAGCCTTTTAAAAACAAGTAACAATTGTGCGAATGTCTGACAGAATTACAGTTTACTTAAAATTCATTCAACTACAGCTCTTTTTCTTACTGTATACGGGTATAAAATAAAATCCTGTTACAGTAATGGGTCAAATTTAAATTGATCGTACGGATGAACAAGAACAGGTTACCACCCAAAGTTCGATGGAAAGTACTACCACTCAAGAGTAGTTTTGCACTCGGTTTTGCTCGTCACCCAAGTCTGTTCAGCACTTTTCTCAGCACAGCACAATAAAGTTTGGAGTGAATGATACAGGAATACTTTGTACTGTGATATTTCTCTGGCAGGTTCATACCAAGAGTGAAATCCATTCATGTGAATTAGCAAAAACTGTAAACATTTTATCTTGAGCATTGTGCTACAAGTGTTTAATGTAAATTTTGCTTACTTAATGCAAATTCCTATAGTATGAGTCAGAGTTAGAAGTGAATCAGTCCCATGTCACTTAAAAATCAATCCACAAATCAATTTGGACAAGGGTGCGGGTGCATTTCGCCAGTGACATCCCACCTGTTTGCAAGATGTCTTCCCTTTATTGCTGTTGTGCTCACAGTCTGTTGGCCACTGCCTCTCTCTCACTACAGTGAGCTACTTCGTCAGATCCAATCCAGATATACTCCTTGACTGGTGACAGGCAGGTTTAGGTGACACCAGCAGTCTGTGTCCAACACCCATGCAAAAATGTTACAAATTGTAGGAGAAATACATGTATGTGCCTTCCTCACATCATTAGGCACAAGCAATGTTGCTTGTTAATATTTCATTTTAGGATTCCATTTTACGGTACAAAGTCTAAAGTGACTGCAATCCCATTAAGGCCTGTGAGTGGTAACATCTTGCTGGTACAGCGTATCAGGAATCACTCTTACGGGCATGATCATTAACCACTTGTCATCCACTTGATTATCCCTGGTAACCTGTACACAAACTTAATCCGGGTACCAGGCAAAACCAACCAATTGCTGACAGTTACCACTTCAACCTGCCTTATTTGTAACAAGGAAAGGTGTCTGGTTCTGTAAAATTAATGTACATGTACTGGTAGGACTGTGCTTGTTTAACCCCTTAACCATTGACAGTGTGAGGATTCGTGCATACCACACATACAGTCTATTCACCATGCAGCCGCGGTTTCAATGGGGTCTGCTGCTGGACAGAGCTTTGCATTCTGGGCATACCGCAGCCCAGCAGACAGCAAACTCTGCTTTATGGAACATCCTCTGTAACGTGTGTTGGAAAAAATTAACCTCAAAACACTGCCTGCAACTGTAACAGCAGTAGTGAAAAATTCATAAATAAGTGCTGAAGAAATTCATATATTACTTAAATATCACCTGTTTGTTTTCATTTTTAAAAGTACATTTTTCATCCTTACAAACTACAAGCAGATCTACTATAGCTTTTCCAGATTCAGTAATTAACGTACCAGGCATACAATAGGACATTACAATAACAATATTAGTAAAGTAAAAACTGCATTTATAATAAATCACCCATCTTTAAGAAATGTATTTGTTAATGGTCACCTTTGGGGAGAAAAACTCAGTGGTTCAAGAATTACTTTACAAAAACTTGAAATAGGATGTTGTACTGTTCATAGTTGAGGTAAACTGTTTTCTTGTTATAAAAATATTTTTTAATTTAAATGCCAAAGATTTTATAAAAGTGCAGAGTCCCTGGATGGAACTCACCACAAAATTTCCTAAAGTCATTTTGTGAATTACAGAACCTGGCTTGGCTCCTGGAAACTAACGCTAAAAAAGACCAAAATGTTCAGAAAGAGTGCATACTTTTAAGTTTGTAGAATTCATTAGACATGTCTACTTTTTGCGAATACTTGTCCATCGTTGCTAATGGGAGTTTTCACCGGGACCTGCTCTCAAGATTCTAGGTACATGGAGTACAATTTGAATGATAGCCAAATTTGCGACCAAACTCAATTTTCTTTTTACCAAATGCCCTTTTGCTTTGTTATATATATATGTTGGTGTCTACCATAGGAAAACTTCTAGTCAATCCTGGTTAATTTCACAATAATCCTGCCTACTGATTCCCCAAATGTCATCAAAAACCTGCCATATAATCACACATTTCACGTAGACAATACTGACTAGATTGGAAGGAGACTCCAGTCATGTATGTTAGTACATGTACATGCACTAGCCAAAGGAAATGCCACCATGGTCTTGGTATCAGCATGTATGGCTTACTATTGTACCATTCCAGCACCAGTGAGAGTATCAAATTCAACCTATCACATCACAACAAATTAAAATGAAAATATAATAGAAAAACATTTTCATGAATTAACTCGCAAAAGTCTTCCTTAACGTTGTTGATAGCATCAAACAATGTTTGCTGGACAGTTTCTGTGGCCAATGTCTGAGTTCCATTTTGTAAGTCCGTATCCTTCATGCAATTGTGGGAGGGTCAGTGACTTCTGATCCTATTACTATTCTTACACCAGTTAGCCCAGGTTGGCTGTCTTCTGCATTGCGACTGACGTCCAGGGTATAAAAGTCCTCCTACAATGCATAATTTCTTTCCAACAGTTTTTTACCTGGCGAAGACAGCCCAAATGTCATTCACAAGTGCCTTGTATCCCAAATTTACAAATTGAAGAATTGACAACTGTCAGTTTCTGCATTAATTGGAGACTTTTGTCAAGTTGTCTTAAAACGGTTCCTTTTCAGAAATTCTCTGATGTAAACCAAAGATACCCCCGGAATCAACTAAAGCTGTATAACAAAAAGGTTCCATTCAATCAAACGTTTTCATTTGTTACAGTGTTCTAGAACCCGCAGGCATGATGTACCAGAACCTGAATATCAAGTTTCATCTTCATTTTGTGAGAGCAGGCCCAATCGTTCATTCTCCCATTAGCAAGATAAACCAGTCATTCACTGACACATACATGTACTACAAGATTAATGAACTGTTTCAACAACAAACAAACAAAATGTCCATACAAAGCTGACATCAATAACTTTGCTGTCGTAATGATCGCCTGCCATAACTCTGGTCTGAGCGGTCATCATTGCAAAAGATTTGACTTCTGTTGGACCTCCTGGATTGGGAAGAGCACTGCTGCCAGACCTCTGCAGCTTGTGGTAGGTTCCATTTGAGAAGATTGATGAAGAAATCCTCCAGCTTCTTGGCTTGGAGGTTGACATGCCCATCATTCTATGCAAATACACATGAACAATTGACAGGAATGCTTATAATGAAGTCGGCACTTGGTCCTTTTCTCTAGTTTGATGATTTGTATGTAAATAGCCATATTATCCTGAACATGATCCCTCTCCACTTTTTCAGAGGCTGCATTGTGTATTTGGGATGGAATCCCTGGCTAGGTGACATTTCATGTTTGGGGTTTCTGATTAGCACCCCTGAACAAAGATACGGCACTGACAAATGAGAAAAGCTGCCAACAGGGCTGGATAACTCAGTTGGTAGAGCACCAGTAGTCGTCTGGAGGGCTCATCAGGTTAAAATCCCCCTCCAGTCAAATATTTTTTTCTACTGAATACACATGGAAAGGTTGGACAGGCAGGAGCCAATCACAAACAATAAATTTCACACAGCAGTTGGGTCTCGAACTTTTTGTGCAGACCAAATTTTGAAAGTTGACAACTCCAAGTACATTGGCTCCAAAACGGATGTCAAGTTGGCCCATGAATTTTGCCTCTACAGTTGGCCCTTCAAATTGGACCTATTTGTTCCTGAACTCGGCCACTAAAGTTGGCCTGTGAATAAAGGCTATCTCACCTCATAATATTGCTTAGCATTGGTGAACAACAGACGAACATCCTCTAGAAATTCCTGTTGTTCCTGGTACTCTTCACAGCTGCATCGGTCCTTCAGCATGTGTAGGTCAACAGGATTAGCAATGACCTCTTTGTAGTCTGGTGCCTGAATGCAAGCCAATATATAACAGTTAGTAGACAGGATGGTGTAGATGCTACGATTAAATCAAAAATAGCCCTCTCAGCCATGATTCAACATCTGAAAACAAAAACAAAAACTCTCAAAATAAGACAGCAAACCCCAAATATTCTTAACTATTGACAAGCAACCCAAAATGGTTATTAGTTAAGATCACTGGAGAATTCATCCCTGATTTCGTTACTCCTTCATGTTATGTATCGTATTTTTCGGAATATAAGCCGAACCTAATATGTTGATTCTCACACTGAAAAAGTCTCTGTGGCTTATACAGCAAACTTTGAAGGGTAAAGTCAGTTACAAAAGCTGCAGCCACGTGCAGGTGGTGTAGTCATGTTTTTGTTAGTTGCCACCATTTTCATCTGATAACTTAAACCAGTTGAGAATAAATAAACATTCGAGTTGTCCAAATTTTGAAACAACAGATTTCCCCAAGTCATGGACTCATGAAACACATACATGAAAACTTACACTTGACATGCTCTCCTGTGGCAACATTTTTCAGTGATTATTTTCCTGCTTTTTTATTCATTCTCATGGTGTATTTTTTGAAAGACGTAATTTTACACCTAATATACCGTCCGCTTCAATAGTGGACCTTTGTGTGGCAGATCTTTCATCTTTTCTCCGATCGTGTTCAGCGTGACATGCCACAGAATTTTTTTTTTACTTGGGTTTTCTGACGACAAAACTTTCTTTGGTCACATGCCATATGTGAATGCGAATTGTGTGGGAACTAAAGAAGTCAGCTCCTCACAGACTGGATTTCTGGACAAAACCAAAATTACAGCAATTGCTGGAAGGCTGGTATCCCTGTTCATCACATGGCTGGTAAGCCAGTTGCTGGCCATATAGACAACCAACACAAGTGTTGACAACACTGCAAGCAAAATAAAGGTCCTTCAACAGCACAACTTCATCATCTGAACTTAACTACATCATCTGAAAAAGGAGGGCAGGACTCTGAGGTCTGTTTTCAGCATTACATGAAGAGGTGTGTGCAGGCTGAGAGCACACTGACATCCCTGGCTCAGGGAATACAAGTAAAATACAAAACTGGGAACTGCAATAAAGACAGTGTTGCCTTGCTGACTCCCAAGCAAAAGGTGTGATTAAAATGTGAAAAAGCTTACAACATGTACTCACATTCTACCTACACTGTACATTGTACGATGACTAATTTCTCTTCGAGCATACACGTACATAATATCACACTGCATGCTATGGTCTTTAGCCAACACTTAAAAGCAAATACCTGTGATGAGAGGGTGGAGATTAAAAGTTGCTTTAAAACTAGCATAAAGAAAAACCCAAATCACTAATTCATTAAAACTTGGTGTCCTGTTCTTACATCTGCTGGATCTGGCATGGTGCGGAATGGTCCACTGTCCCTGTATCTTAACATCTTGCTGATGATGTCCTCTGCAATCTAAGAAAACCATTCATTTGCAAAACTGGTGTTGATTTCAACATGTGGAAGGCTGTCAACTTTACAAAACAGGTTAAAAAACCTGGTATGCCCTTTGCCAACAATTGATTTTTCCTTTGCATGCATGTGCCTCACCCTTATTTTAAGTTTTTGTATTGCTATTTTAAAGATTATTTTGGTACCCTTTTTATGCTAATGCAAATGTCCATATTCATGAGCAAGACTGTGATGTCACTCTATGCAAAGTTAAATTGACTTATGCATCAAAAAAAGTGTTTTCACATCTTTTTTACATTTTTATGTTCTTGCGTTTCTTTTCTTTTGATGATTCATTGTTGTGTAAGTACCTGATAATAAGCCACAAAGTAACATTTCTTGGCATTGTTTCCAAGGAGTAAATTTTGGGCTGACAGTTTCAGCAGAAATCCCTATGAACAGTGTCTTCCCTGAATGACATTAGCCCCAGTCTGGAAAAGCATTGAACATTTTTAAAAGGTGCACCTTTTAATATTCTAAAACGAAGGGATGTGAAACAGTTGTCATACTGTGACAATGCGCATAAAATTGCACAGTAATTATTTCTGAGGAAGATTCATCACATGGACCCTTTTATTAACAAGGTTAGCAAAGTGCTAACTAATTATTCCATTTCACACAAATTTTATCAACAACAAAAGGCTCAGAATGATGATAAAAGGTTAACCACTTGCTGTCAGGGAGCCCGGTTTCGGACACTTATTCTTTACATTCACAGCCAGGGTGCCCAAAATCGGACAAAGGGAACTGGGCCTTGTAACAAAAGACAGCATTTTTTTGAAACAGTATATCACTGTTTGGGGTATTCAGTGGGAGTAGGTTACCACCGGGGACAGAAGCACTCCCATCACTGCAGCGATGAGCCACACAGCACCGCTGCAAGCTAATCTGGCCCCTATTGAAAAGAGGTAAGCAGTGCACTGTGCCAGTTTTGGAACAAAAGAAAATTACGTAACATCGCACAATCTGGGCTGTTTTTACAAGGTACCATACCTGGCTGAAATACTGTGGCATCAATAGATGTTGTCTGTCAAATTAGAGTAGTAACCAGACAGTCCTTCGTGTGGGTATAAGTGTCCAGTAAATGAAAATATGAATTTTTAAAGAACTTTGAATTCAGAAAAAAATGAAAAATACTCTGGCCCCGCAGAATCAACATTTATAACTACCCCCAGCAGGAAGTGGTTAAGACGTGGTCTTTAGGCAGTGTTGACATAAGCACTGACTGACAAATAATGTAATTTTTTAATCCATCTGACCTTGCAAGTGAAGGCAATCTTGGGTTTCCTTGCGGCTGCTCGAGCCGCATCCTGAGCCTTTTTCCTTTTAGCTTGTTGAAGCCTCTTCTTCCTGGTCAGGGCCTCCTTTTTAACCTTTTGCTCTGCTTGCTTCAACTGAGCAGAGCGAGCGCGGTTCTGGCATGAGGCACACACCCAGCGACCCCTGAAAAGAAAAGTAGAGTGGGATGGGGAAATCTTAACTCCCAACAGTCCTCAGTCCTCCTATGGGTGAGGGACTGAGGACCTAGATTAGCTTTCCACATGAAGGTATTGCACAGCCTGTAACTAAACTGGTGTTCTCTGGTAATCTATTATTGCTCAGTTCTTATGACAGGGTCAGAATTGAATGTCTTGGGTGATTCAATCACATTTCCTTGCGAACAATGGTCACTAAAATATGTTCAGAAATATTAAAACATACACAGGACGCCTTGTATTGCCTTTCCACAAATTTTCCAGTTTTAAAAACCTAAATTTTTAAAGTGGAAATTTCAACTGAAATGTTCTCACCTTGGAAAATTGCGCATGGGTGGTTCATGGCATTCCTTGTGGTATGCTAAGGGGCACTTGGCACAGAGCACTAGCTCACCATCCTCGGAGCAAACTATGCACACATCCTCATGTTCAATCTCACCCTCAGAATCTTCATCCTCAAAATCCTCATCAGTGGTACTGCCATCCTCACAGGAATCCTTGCCAATAATTCGAGACATAACTTTATTTTTAACATTTTAAAGTTTACATGGCTTTATGAATTATGAACCAAGAAGTGGCCCAGAGGGCAAGTAGGGAAAATATTTAATTGCAAAACCTGGAACATAAGATGCTACATTCCGGTGTGTTCAGTTGAGAAACTTGGAGTGACATTGTTGGGTTCATCATAAGTGTTTCACCAGTAAATCACACTCAATTTACAAGTTCAGTCAAAATGAAAAATGAATAAGGAACGATGCTGTTTGCACAAAGGCGTGTGACTTAGCTTGAGACTGGAAAACTTGTAAGGGACTAGTGAGAACTTTTGGTGGACTCTACAACAGAAAAAAACAAGATACCATGTAGCACTAAGCCACTACAAAACACAGCAGACTTGGTACTTAATCAACTGTTGAGTAAGAGGTACTTAATTTCAAGCTTCATTTTCAATTTATTCTTGATGATAGATAATACATGTATTTCTCACCTCAGACTCATCTGAATCATCCATTCCTTTGTAACTTCGCCTCCTGACACTTCTCCTGGCAGAAGGCTAAAACAAACATTTAAATTCCTGCTTTCAAACCATCTATTCTTTAAAACCTTTCAGGGATCTTTTGATGGTGTAAATATAAAAAAACTAAAATCAACACGTAAATTGACTGGAGCAAGGTCTGAGGCTTCAACTCCTGGAAAAAGCTTACCGACGTATTAGGAACTGAGCTATCCAGCAACATCTGGCAACAACAAACTGCCTTATGCTAGTTGTACATGCACGCCCCTACTTGCCAAATGGCACAAGTCTGATACTATCAACCTATATGTTCATGCTACCATATGTGGCTTAGGATTCCACCAAAACTCAAGACATTAGCAACTTTTGCAAACCTAAGGAAATGGCAGTGAGAAATGACTTACAGCAATATTCAATTCATGTTAAAATAATCAGATACGTAGAACAGGAAAAATGACAAGTCATCCTCATTCTTGAAATTTGTGAATTTTGGAGTTTGAATATCCCAAACAGGGCCCCTTTTTGTGTAAGTGGAAAGTTTGATCTACTAACAGCACAGGCAGGGCATTTCCAGTCACCCTTGGGTACAGTAGAGAGTGCTGGCCGTAGGCAGAACAGATGGAATGGTTGGTTGCACTCATCACAAAGCAACAATTTGTCCTCATCTCCCTTGCGTCGGCAGATCTTGCACTTGGCATTCTCAGCTGACTTCTCCCATCGAACGCAGGCCTCAAAAATGCTCAGGAGGAGGTGGAGGCGTGACAGTGTGGGGGCACTTTCAACTGCTTCAACCCACTTGGTCACCTTCTCTGGAATTCCTGACCCATCTTCTGAAAAAAAACCCACTAACATTCAGCAGCTCACCATGTTCAATGACTCTTCTTTTTATTACTAAGTTACATAATCTCTGTAAGTGCATGAGTAAAAGCAATTATTATTAATTTTAGCAACTACATGTACATGTATGTCCCCTAGTGTCCGTACAGTTATGATGTGGAGCATGCACAATGCCAACTGATATGGGCACTAGCAGAGTCCAGGGGAAAACATTAACCACTTGCTGCCGGTGGTAGTTTGACTTGTGCATCTTCTTGCCTTTGAAGATTTTTTTTATGACTGGGTTAAATTTGCATACGATGTCAGGCAACACGGTTCTTACATTCCTTTATGTAACTGTATTGGTATGTATTTTGCAATGCATATTAAGTCATGTGGTATCATTCAGCCAATCACGTTGTGCTATTCCTTTGCCATGTGATCTTACTGAGTATGGAGTACGGGAAATTCCATTTCTAGCCAGTCTTCGTCAAACACCGTTGGAAGCTGTAGACTGTAAGTTCACTTGCATTTTCTTCATGTTTGAGATAGAAAATGTGCCCATAATTTACATGTATATTTAAGATCACTGTGTATGTATTTATGCCTTTTCTTACATGTCTTGGGAAACTTACTGCAACACTGTCGTGTATACATGTATTCATAATTTGAGTCGATATTTGGAACAATAGTCATCGTATTTTGCATGGACGTATGCACCTACACAGAATTGTGTATGTGTGTGTGTACATTTATTTACCAGTTGTGGTACGTCATTCTTGATGTTTATTTTAACATTTAACATTTATTTCAGTTATGTCATTTCTTAAGCGCCATTTCTATTTTATAATTTTTTTGTTATTCCACAACAATTTTCAATAGCGCTGTACATATCAAATGACAAAAATAATGATTACACATTTACATGCATAACAGTTACATGTATATAAAAATTACAATTTATATTACACTTTAAAACTTACAAAAACTACATAAAAGTAGTAAACATTATTTTCTGATAGTTGCTTGGTTTCTTTTTGTAGTTTCAGCACCAGAATACCGCTGTGAAGCCTGAAACCTCCCACTAGCCCGTTTATTTCAGTAGCCATTTTGAACACCAATCACTGCACGTATTCCAGGGGTGTCGATAGTGCATATGATTTGTAAGTGTGTAATTGAAGCATACATTGTAATGATACAAGCAATGATGTGTGTGTACAACTGACGGAGTAATTAATATATCAGATATTGAAGATGTTGTAAATTCATTTTTAGTACAACTACTGGGGACAAAATCTTGTTTTAGTAAAGCAGCAAAATCCTTGAAATTTTGAAAGAAGATTGTATATGCAGTTAATGTGTAGTTCGGACCTAATTGAAATTGGGGTTGAATTTCTTATACTTATTAACTTCTAATATGTTTAAATGTATCCATGTTTATTTCAGTTTCACCAATTCCTCATGGAGTTGTATTATTAAAATTAAGGGATTGGCATCTTGCATCATCGTATTCCATTCTTTGGTGTTCTCGCGTGCATGTCGATGACAAGTGATCACCACTGTGGTAACCCACAGACTTGCCATGTTTGGCTGTGGCATACTGGAGTAAATAAATGTTGGAAAGGATGCACGAAGAGGGTGTGCAGTTCTCTTCAGAAACCCTCAGACGTCAACGATTGATCCCCACAGATGCACTCTGAAATTCCGAATCGGCGATGGTTATTTGGCAAAAGTCTGACATTTTAAAGTCAGTTATGACATTTTGCAATTCCAGCGGTAAAGAACAAATACCCAAAATATGAACTGCGATATTTATATCTTAAGTCGCAATCCTAGCGGTTCCTACGGTTAAAAGCAGGTGGAAATATGTCACAGGAATGCATTTGACAATGTGGCGAGGTTTCATGCCTGGCCAATTGTGGCCAATGACAGGAAGGACAACCAATCTTCCCATGTTTTTGTGTGGTGTTTTATTTTCCTCTGGACCAGCTACATTCGTTCAGTTTTCTTGTCATGTATTTTGGAGAATTTATGTTAGTAAAATGTTCAGTTTATTGTTAAGAGAGACATTATGGGGATATAAAGATGCAACCAGACTTTAATTATCATTGAAATATCAGAACAATCACTAAAATAATCAAAATTTAAGTCTGTGGTAATGAAAGTCATGTTGAACATGCGGAAGTGTTAAAGACACGCATGTGCAGTATCCACAATGCTTTGCAAATGCAACTGAACAATCCTTTGCAAATACAACTGAGCATTCCTTACCAGTATATCCCGCAAGCAGCGCGTAATTTGTTTTGTCCTTGCAGCACATGCAGTACTGGCGGTGGCCATCATTGACCCTTTTGATCTCTGTATGTCGTTATTCCTCGTGTATAACTTTATAATACTCCATGATATAACTAACTACCATACATTGTTTGTGACCTCGTCCACATCAATTATGCCGCTGCATGCATGAATGCATGCAACAGCATGGCCTTTGATATCGTGGGAATGAGGTCTGAGCTCCATTAACATGATTAGTTCTAAACCAATCAGATATCTCCAAGAGTTTTTGCCCGAGTGTGTCTGATGACTGCAACAAAGTGAAATTGAGGTTGCTATGACTCCATGGCACTTGCAGACCTACCAACTACGTAAAATACGATTTTGCTGTACTTTCTATGAGAAATTATTGAAAATACCACTGTACGTTTTCTCCCCCATAAAATTTGGGTTTGGGCCATTTCGGCACACCTGAAAATAGTGATTTAATAGTTGTGTGTTTACATTATACTTGAAAAACAGCTACAGGCGTAGAGTGTAAAATGAAAATGTTTGTAGCGATCTCTGAAAGAATGCGTGTTGAAACACTACTGGATGGAGTGCCATTTAAATGCTCATGATTGAAACAACTGGACATGTGCATGTACACATGTACATGTGTACTGTAGGAGCAAACTGTATGATGCGGGCATTTCTCAGCGTGGCTCGAAGCACAGGTCTCGTGTGTAAATAGCATCCTGGAACCATGCGATCGTTGTGCTGTGAATGGCTGTCAATTAATTATCAATATTCATAAGTGGAACTCCTTTCAGCCATTCTTGCGTCATTGGAAATAGTGACTAACAATCTCCACTATACATGTATTTCACTGTAAATGTGCGGTTTGAAATAAGGTTAGTAAATATTTGCTTTCTCGATAGAGGGATCTGTGATAACTAGTGTGGGGCAAAGTTGTACTCCATTTTTCTTACATGCTCTACTTGCATCGTTTTGTATGAGATTTCAAACAATATTTGGACATAAACTCAGCAAACTGTCAGTGCAACACAAGTGTATAAATTGTCAAAAGAAGCTCTGACTTGGATTTAAACTTTAGGAAGACCCATCCTCAAGTTACAAATCCGTGGCGATGGAAGTGGAGGGAATCACCATAGAAAGGCATGCGGCTCAAGTCTGTGCCTGGAAAATCCACAAGCCTGGACATGTAATGTGCTTTCTTTGTAACTACACGTAAGTCGAATGTCGAATATCAAATCAGGTGGGAAAATGACCAACTCACTCCAAACACCTCGGTGTTTGGATTTCTCACGTTATTATTTTTTTATGCACGAAGAAGTGTGGACCCAATCCAGACTTGGTCAATATACTTATTTTGTGAAATGTTACAATTTTTAAATGAGAAATACAACTTTTAGATTTTCATAATGCAGTTTTGTGATTTCATAGGTTGGTCGGTCTGCACTTGAATCAATGGTGTGCAGGAAGTTGTCGGTTTATATCCCACCTAGTGTGTACCGGTATGTGAGATTGTTTCATAGAACTGTCCATCATCTTACCTTCATTATTAGTTTCCTCCTCATCGTTATCCTCTTTACTGTCCTCTTCTGAGGGTTTAGGTTTAGGCTTGGGCTGGGCCATAATCCCTTGAAGGAACTTTGGGTTAACACCTGCTTGGCTCTCAACGATCAAAGCTCCCTGAGCCAAAATATTTATACGAGGAAGGAAACAAGAGTTTTATACTATGCTGCTGTGACTACGAAATGCGAAGCAATTTTAAGCACACTTTCCTGAAGGATATCCAAAGAAAGTAATGTGCTAAAAAGTCAGTGATTTCATATAACCTACAAAGAAAGAACTGGTAAGGCATATAATTCCTTAAGTGCATGAGTTTACTTCAACTCTTCCAACATCAGCCCATTCACATTTTTGTAAGGAAAGTTGTCATATTGTAATAGCAAATTTCATGACTTCTAAATAGACAATTGTGCAATAACAAATTTACATGTAACCTGTTTCTCTTCATTAGAAAATTGAGCTCCATAAAGTATTAGCCACCCAATAAAGACAAATTAAGGGAAGGTGCATGTAACCTTGGATTTAGGAGCCTTGGACTAGACTAGGTTCAAAACTTAATCCTACTCCTCATTTGAACATATCCCTACCTGGCCACTCAGTGGCTTCACTGGCTGGTAAATGCTGGGTAAGACAGCCATTAATAATTAATGTACTCTCCCCAAACCGTTGAAGACAACAGTGCGTATCTTTGGATTACTTACCAAGTCTTTGAGCTTGGTGGCTGTCTTGACCTGTTCCTCCCATCTCTGTGGGTCTTCCACTCCACCCAAATTGCCTTGTCGGATGTGACTCTCAATATCTAGCAAGTCTTCCCTCAATGACTGCAAAAGCTCCCTGGGACCATCCGATTCCCGCAGTTCTGGACCAGATCTGTTGGAGTACAAATCAACTTGAAATGGGTATGCAAATACAGAGTCAAATTACACTGCAAGAGAGGAAATTCCAGACAAAACAAGAGTACATGTACACTGTATGCACAGAATCTTTTTTTCAATTTACAATGGTGTACCAGTACATAGGAAAAACACACTGGCAATTATTTATCTCAGGAATGTACATGGAACACTTAGGGTAAAAGTCTAGGTTGATGATGTGGCATTATTCTGGTGGCTTTACATTTCATTTCAGACCGGGCACAAATAATGCTGTTGTCAAAATTGCTGAGAAAAACGACATATTAACTATACATGTATGATCCTGCAACATCTGGAATTTAATAGGAGACAGGTTAATCTTTCCAAATATTACAAAACCCCAAATTGACGTTCACTTTAGTATTTGATTTGGAACTGTAAAAATAGGAAAGGGCAGCATCTTTACGCTCATTCTGTTGTGCTGGGTCAAATTTGCTTTGACATCCTTTGGCTCATCACAATTCTATTTTCTGCTACAAAAACATTGATTTGTCTAATGTGAGGCCAAATTTGGAATGTTCTCATTTGGCCCGTTGCTGATCCCTGAAATAAGCTCCCTGTTAGCTCAGTATTGTCCTGACTCTGTTTGTAGAGCCAGAGCATTTGGCTCCGGTACTGCACACCTACCTCCTGGACAGGTTGATCATCCTGACTATGTCCTGGTAGTGCTTCCTGATTTCAATACACAGAGCACTCTCTCGCACACCCTGGTTATCTAAGGCCTCCAAAATGGCTTCCAGCTCCTTGGTACTCTCATACTGAAACCACAGATTCTGGCCCACCTTAGGAAAACTAGGAGAAGAATGACAAAAAGTACTTCTTTGACAGGATTCAGCACAAACTGGAATTCAGACATGTGATACATTTTTTGCCTTATTATAAGAGTGGTATAGTGTCCTTGCATAAGCAGTCTGTCATTGGTGGTCTAGCTCCCAATACTTCAGTCATCAGGCACCTGGTGTACGGTTGCATTCTTTCAGATCATGCATATACTGCTTCATAAATGTGCCAATCAATGTCTGAGCACACAATTAGTCTGGAGAACACCTCAACAGGAATCTCTTTGTTTAGGGCAATCCACTTAAGGCCGGTTGGGTTTTGTCCTTTATTCCATCAAGTACATTTATGTTTTTACTGTCTGTTTTGTTTACCTGAGAAATGAAATAAATAAAACAAATAACAATAAATACATGTATATGTGTTAGTCCAAGAAGAAATTTTGCTTAGTTTCAAATGATTAGTTTTTTTATATTGCATGCAACTGTATTGTTTTAGAGGTGTTTGTGTACGTTTTGTGCATACTGTGTGGTGTATTTTTGATATTTATTATATGTTTAATGAGAGATGACATCATGCAATTTCCAGTCTTAGATGTACATGTACTTGACTGACTTTCTACACATACATGTATCTATCTTTGTAGGTAAAACAGTTTTGACTTTAGACTCATGATGAAATAATATTGTCCCAACTTTTTCCTGCTCTATGGGATGCCACCAGTCTATTTAAATCATCTGCAGCATGTTCAAAATGCATGTGCTAGCTCAGGATTGTTTTTAGCATGTACAAATACATGTACATTTACTGTAATATCACACCTGTTCTCATAGATCTGGGTCTGCACACACTAACGGATACATGTGCAAATAACCAAAATCATCTCTTTCTTTAACAGTGTTGAGAGTCAAGAAATGAACTTCAACAATTTTACTGATATTATTTAAAAATAATCAGGATCTTGATAAAAATGTTCAGCTTAACATATTAGGGGTTCTTTTCTCTTATAGAAAAAAAGCGATCCATCTGTTAAAACATGGGTGCTACAGGTACGACATTTGTGAAATGTGTCAAAATCTATGCCTTTTTATTTCTTTATCTTAAACCACAATTTAAGGAGAGCTAATTAAGGAATAACATACGTCACAGTGTCTGTCCACAAAGCGGCAAACATGAAACAGGATGATATTGCCATTGCTTGAGCAGATAACATGAACAAAATCATATACATGTATCTTCCTGAGAAAATTTTTACAGTAATAGTTTATATCATACTTGTGGTTGTTTTTTCTACCAGATGACAAAACTAAGATTTGATTTTAGGCATTCCAAATATCTGTCCACTATTTTGTAACGTTTGTCACAACCATTTTTCCCTCCAAATGTAACAATCTTAGATGACCTATCTTATGAGAAAATATACATTTATTACAAAACCAAATTAAACAAATAAACAATTCATTTGAAAAAGTTGGTTCATTTTGCTGAAATAACAATGAGAGGACTGTCTGTCCCCAGGTTATGATATGTGTCCAAACGTTATGTCTGTCCATGTGACCAATGTTACTCATTTAGAAAAACTTACATAGAATTAATTTTAGCCGACATTTAATAGTCTTTTCAACAAAAATGATTTGGAAAATAAACAAGTCTGGTTTGTGAGCAATTCTGTTTTGATGCTCCACATGTACATGTACTAAAAACACCAGAAAAATGTCTGTCCATGTGACATACGATACACACTTTTCTTGAAATAAATTTCAGTGTTATCTACACTGGAATTTTTTCTAGGAGATAATGAAAGTTTCTAAAAGTAAACTAAAGAGTATTTAATACATGTACATTGCAGGCAATTTTCAATTACGTTTTGAATTTAATTCTCACATTTAAGGAACAAAGTGTCTGTCCATGTGAGAAACGTTACATCTTCAAGAATGAACTTCTGTAATTTCTTCAATACTGCTCAATTTTTACCTTTTTGTGGCAACAACAGTGAAGACATATAAGCCAAAATTAATGGCAATATTTTACAGTTGGGAAGTTGTATTGAATGTCACACAAGTGTAGCTGTTAGTGTGGACAGACCCATCTTCACTGGCTGAGGTGGTGAAATTTAGAAGTGTTTTTTAAATCTTGCTGTTTGTTTTAAAAATATTACGCAGCTATAGCCCTGAAACTACATGTAATCACTGTTGGACCATTGTCTCGCTATGGTATCCGTAGCTTGAATCAAAACACTGGGATCCTTCTAAAAATTCTGTCCATCTGTTGTAAGAATTCCTTGGTGATCAGGTTTTGGAACATGCTACTCCTTATCTATGGAATAAGCATCCAGTTCAAAGAGGAACGGCACTAGTTTAAACCATTTCAAGGCGCTGTTAAAAACTCACTTTTTACAAATTGTTTTTGATTTGTAACTAACTTTTATTGTACTAGTAATTCAACGTTCACACTTTTCTGTAATGTAAATTTGTATCTGCTTTTAATATTTATTTTTGATTTAGAATTATAATTTTCCTTTAGTTCATTCCAGTTTTATTTTAATTTATTTTAATGAATTATTGTAGGTGTTCCTTACCCTGTACAGCTTATTGGAATATGCTCACATTGCATTTGCACTATACAAACTTTATTAACAGAATTACTGTGCGACAGAAGCTAGTTTCACAAATACAGCTACTCTTATACATGTACATGTACTCCTTTCCTACTACCAAATCTCTGGGTTATCTCAGCAAACCCCAAGATATTCAGGGTAGCACAAGCGTTCCAATTACTACACATATTTTTCCGCCCTGGGTTAAAAGAAAAAAATTGGCCTTTTCCCCGCGATTCGTTAACCCTGCAAGTGCCCATGGGTAAAGGATGGCAATCTTGGAGTTTAACGGCCAAACCCCAGGGCTAGTAATGAAATGGGAAATTAAACAGGGTTAAGCATTCCACTGAGCAATCTCGGGGTTAACACACAATGAGGCATTGCATAATCTGCGGTCAAAGGTTAAAGAGCAACCCCAACGGTGGAAGAAAATAAAAAATATATACAATAAGAAGTATATTTACTTGGATCCCATTATAGGCATCTATGCCACATAAACCCGGATTCACGAATATTTTTTGTAAAAAACCTCACTTTTGAGACCCATTCCTGCCATGGGCCATGGCTACCTTTTGTGAAAGAGCATGTCGTCATCACTTCATTTACATGTACATCTCATGAATACAACTTTTCCAAGCTTTTGTCCATGTAGCACCGTAGAAACGGATCACCAGCTGGTGCATGGGCGCACTGAGACGTCGCGGTCACGTCAGTGCACATAATTACATGTGGTATACATGTAGTAACGTGTGTAGTAACAGTTACAATGTCCCAAGCTGGCACTTTAGTAGCTGGAAGGCCAGAGATATTCTCCAGAAAATAGCTTCAAGTGAAAGACCGGAAACTGACAACTCTTGGGAGGAGCACACTATTGATAAAGAAATGATGAACTCGCCAGATGACTATTCTTCATGTACTTGGTACAACATCAGCTCACCAGAGCAAGAAGAACCCGAGGACGTCGAAGAGTACAAAGTCCGAAGTGCAGATCCTCACCACTTAGAACCCACCGTGACACCAGAAAACCAAAAGGATCCCAACTGAGCTGACGATGAGGCAAAGGCTGGTGACCTCCAACAAGGTCATGAAGTTTTTCATTTCCACGGTGGCAGGCAATCAAAAAAACATTTCTGCGTGGCGCCACCAATGATGGAAATGTGGACAGTTTTGAAAAACAGGAAGAATTGTTCCATATTTTTATCGCACTACTGCTATTAATTTAAAAGTCAGAGTACCACTTGCCATGTACATTCACGTACATACTACGACAGTATATGAAACTGTATTCCCCATTTTTTCACTACCCTTGGGGTTCCTCAAGTTATGACATGAAATGTTGCTGCTGTCATTTTGGCGACCGATACCACCTTCATGTCCTCTGTCACCATTTTGGATCTGGACAGTGCTAGCTCTTTCTAAAACTGGACTTCATCTCCAATCAGGCTTGTTTTTGTTTCTGAAGTTTTTAGCTAGTACGTAAGCCAAATAGCGCCTTTTGAGCTAAAATTGACGTGTTTCGATGATTTGTTGCAGCCAAACCACCGAACTGAACCAAAAATCATTGAACTCAAACTCTGAACACTCTCAAACCAAACCAAACCAATAGTCATGATAGCACACAGAACTTTGCAAGAAAGCCTGATACAACTTACGATGGCCCTACATCACGTGATGGTTGTAAAAAGCATGTGGTGAGACCTTAGCATTGCTATGCAGCAGAAATGCAATACCTTGCATGTTCTCGGTTGAAATCAACCTGGAACATCTAAGCTAGAGCATTTCCATTACATCACAATGCTAAATTCTCACTAGTCCAATTGTGCTTATGTATATTCAGACAACATTATGTATGCTAATCTCCAATAGCCACAACCTTACACTCCATATTAAGTCAATGATGTCATAAATAGCTGCGCAAAACAAATTTTGATTGGCTGATGATCATAGTAAGACTTGTGCTCAATCGAAGGCTGATTTGGCCGGGCCGGGAGCAGTGCTCCAGGCCGGGAGCAGTGCTCCAGGCCAGGGTGCAACCAGATTTGTTGCATGGAGTGGCCTAACTTGACTTGCGTAAAAGTTGGTGAAAGTTATAGTATGTACACACTGTAAGTCAAATTTTGCCAGATCTCTAAGTTGTTTGCACATTTAAAATAACACAATGCTGTCATCTGTTCGAAAAAAGACTGATGGAAAATCGCCCTTTGGTCAAATGGGCACGTCCTGGGAAAGAATGTGACTTGATACCAAAGTTTTTGTTTCGATCGAATATCATACATTTAGCAGAATTCACTCGAAATGTAATTTGATCCTGTATCCCATAAAGAAGGATACTCCCATTTTAGCATGCTGGTGTTTACTGTGTTACATATCCTACGATCCTATTGTTGAGTCAAGAATGGTCCAACCACAACTGCTTTTGGCTGGTGAAAAATGGTCAGAAAATGTCACACTTCCAATGGTAACTTTCTTAAATAGAACTTTAACTCTGAAATAAAACTTCGGGCTTCAGTTTAAAAAAAAATGTGTAGAAATCAAAGTTGCTCTTGGATGGGAGATGGAGATTCATTACTTGTATTAATATCTTTTATACATGGAAGCAGGCCGTGACAAAATGCCTGTCCGATAGCCTGGGCAATCAAATTTTCATTCGGGCAATTAAAACTCTCACAAGCCATGCTTGTCCAGGCAAGTCCAGAATAGCTGATGTCTTTTCTGTCTTTACGTTCTGGTCGATTACTCTACATCGGCTGTACACACATGCAAACCTGAAGCTGCAGACTGAAAACAACATCAATGTTGCGAGAGACTTTTTACAAGTTACATGTAATTCACATGACATAGTCTCTTATTGACTTATGTATTTTTGTGTTCATGATTTTAATTTGAGGTTGTTTTTCTCGTACTTGAAGCAAGCGTGTTTCAACAAATTTCCTGCCTCCAGCACAAGGTTTATCGTCTGTTGGTCTGGATAATCATGCATGCTTACCAAGCGATACACAGACACTGTTGGCCAGTTTGCCATTGTCAATTGTTGACTGTAGAAATTTTTACATAGATTAAGACAGGTGTTCATCACTTTTTTGAGATAATTTTGGAAGCTGTCTTCTCCATTCATGACACTCAATCAGCACAAAAAAATTGACATTTTCTTTGACCAAAAACCAAAAAAGTTTTCCGATTTCCCGACCCTATTTTTGAGAGACATATAATCGGAAGTGGAACTATTTTTGGGGGGCCTGATAAAAGACTGTGTGCATGCAGTAGGCCTAGGTTAAATAATCATAATCATGGATTCTAAATCTTGGGCAAGTATCGATCCAATTCGGGCGAGAAAATTTATGGCATGGACTGTCCAACTGGGCTAGCTAAAAAACAATTTGTCGCGGCCTGCATGGAAGTACTACGGCACATTCGTAGTGAGCTCTTTGATGTCTCAATATACATTCTACATGTACACGTTTGTGTGTACAAACCTGAACAGAACCAAAGTTTGGAAAAAAATTTCTGGACTGTGTCCAAACTGAACCTTGGCACTTACTTAAAGCATACATGTAACTTTGATTTGAAATGAACGTGCGACTCCTGCAATAAGGAATTTTGTTTGAAAACTAAGCCTCGACTGAAACGAAAGTGAGTATTAGAAAATGCAATGACAGAATGCACTGACCTCCTTGCTGCTTTGCCTGATATACAAGTACCTGATCTATCAGGTCATAAGGCAAAACAGAGAGTGGGAAACAGCACAAAAGTGACAATAATTATTTCTTGCATTTTTGCTGTGGAAGGGATATTTCACAGACTTGCCATGCAGAAACATTTTAGAATACCCTCTTATAACCCCTTGATGACAGGAATTTCTTTCCGAAAGCTGATTCCAAGAATTCCAGCCTCGCTTGGCCACGAAGGCCACCTGCCAAACACTTTGTGGCCCTGCGTGCTCTGAATTACACAGTGAAAAGGCTAATTGTTTGGTGGCATGCAGCTCTACTCATGCTTTCACATTCCCGTTGCCACTTTTCATTGTGGGGACTATTGTGAAACTGGTGATTAAGATGCAAATTCGGTCTTTTCATTTCTGGGCTACACACAAAGGCCAATCACCACATATACAAGAGCCAGAGTCTGCCTTCCTTCACCGTGTTCGCTCGAACGTGGGCCGAGAATAATAGCTGAAAAGCGGGCTTAGGATCTCAATTTTTACGGCGAGTCAAGCTGCATCCCAGCGAGAAGGGGTTAATTGGGTTGTGCTGTGTGTTGCAATTCCATAGGAACAATCCTGTTTCAGAGACATTCATTTATTACCCATAACAAGTGCAAAATACATGAAAAAATGAGAAAGAGTGAAAAATGAGTCTCACGTCTTTTCAGTACAGTCGCCGCTGTCACCACCTTCCCAAGCTCCGCCCCTGTTGCGAGAGTTGTAGGTAATGTTGGGGTCCACCCAGCCCTTCTCAATGAACAAGCCTGGAGTGACACTGGAGAAGACCCAGTAGCGACTGTGATTGCGATCGGTACCTATGGGAGTCTGGCGGAGGGCCAGCTTAGCCTGCTGTATGCCATCCTGGGGAAGGGAAAGGGGAGAGACAGCAATGACATCATGGGTAAGCAAGACTGAAATAGATGGCTGACAATCAAAGTCCTCCCCCCTCCCACAATAGTCTGCCAATGAATACAGACCCAACAGTTGCTATATGTACATATGCAAATTTCCTTTACGCCTAACTATTCGCTAAAAACTTGATCAACCATAGTGTGCCCTCTATATCCATGATGCATAGCCAAGCCACCGCTAATGTTTGTCCTTAGCGGGATTAGAGAAATTAGAGAAAGCTGACTGTTTGGGTGGGTTTCCATTAGCAGATTCATCCCACACTGTTGTGGGGAAGGAGTCGACTGTGCTTATCCTACCCAAACAGTCGCTACGTACATATATGCAGAGTAGCACTGTACTCTGGAGGATTGGCACGGATACACTGAAAGTGAGGAGAAACCATGTGGAATGACGAGGACCCCCTGAGGAAAGGAGGTGGCATTAGGAAGAACTGGAGGTGGCTCACCCAGCATGGGTCCTCATGGTCTTGGTGAAGAACCTCATATTGTCTTACCATGAAGAACCTGTCACAAGACTTTATTCAGGTAGCATGTCGCGAATAATGATAGTGTTGCCCAGCACGCTGCCCTGTGAGTTTCTTCTGAAGGACACTGCCAAGGATGTGGGTAAGGTGCTCTAATGTGAGCTGTGATAGAGTGGCCGGGTTTGCAAATTGGGAAGGTCGTCCAATTGGGACAGACCAATGTGATGGCAAAGGAAACCCAACTAGTCGTAGTGTCCTTGATTAGTGCTCGATGAGGATTATCAGGGTAATGACAGAGAAAGACGGATAGTACCTCTCAGCGTTGAGTCCTGGGGCCAATTTCACTAAACTTATCTTGAGGATCGGGGTAAGTCTGGACCGGGCCCTATTGCATATCCTGAGAGGGGTTGCATGGTTGCAGATCACGTTCGCGAGGCTGTACGAGGTGAGCCGAAGTGGCAGGGGCAGAAGAGATTGTCCAGGATATCCCAAAGAAAAGACTGGAAGGCGAAGACCGGGTGTGTAAAACTGCAGTATTGCAGCAGGCCGATGGGTTTGGGTGCCAGGGGTACAGATTGGGGAGAGATGGCTGCAGATCCGAATTCCATTGGTGCATCCACCAGGACAGCCCCAGGGAGTGACGCAGGGTTGACCCGGTAGCACTATTGTCTGGTTTACACCGGGAGTCCCATTGTTGTATTCTGGAATACCAGAGGGAGTGGGCAAGTAGGGGTCAGCTAGGTCGGCAGTTGAGGTGTTGACCTGCCTCAAGACAAATCTTGGAGAGCCTACTAGTAGCAGTAGGAGAGGTTCCAGTGGGTAGCAATGGGGACACGGCATTTGGTCTGTATTCGGATAGTGCATGCACCAGGGCAGGAACAAATGGAAGTCGGCCCAGGGAGCATTTTTATTGTCTGGTCCACGCCTGAATACCCACAGCGGATGAGGGGCATGGTAGTCCGTAGTCTAATGGCACGTTTACCAGAACAGCCCCAGAAAGTGATTGAAGTCGGCCTGGGTAACGCTATTCTCTGTTTCATGCCTAGGTGTCCTTGGTGCAGAAGTCTTAAATGTCAGCAGGGGGCTGATGCATAGCAGGCCAGTAAGTTTTCCTTGCCATGTTGTGGTCTGCGTTGCGCCTATATGGCCCAGCATTATATTGACTGAGGATGCTCCAGGTGACATTTGGGGAAGGGACCGGTAGAGTGTAGTGTCTACTTCACTCCTGGATGCCCCCGATGAAAGAGTGTCTGAAGGCAATACCTTGGTGCATGAGGCGGTAGTTTGAAGGTCATGGATGGCATGTGGCTGTCTTTCTGTGAGCCTTTGTGAGCCATGCCGGGAGAGAGATGTATTCTTTGGTTGGTGTCAGTGCAATCTGGACCACCGCAGTAGACGTTGTCGCACTGGTGGTTACACTAAAGGAGCCGACCGTTTGGATCACACGCACTATAGCTCAGTCCCCTGTGTGTGTGGGGGTTGCCTAACCCCAAACTGACCAGGACTTGTGCTGACAGACAGGTGTTAGTGCGGGTATCAAATGGAGACTTGGTCAAACTGCAGACCAACTCTTGTCGGTCTAAGGGAGTGCCACAGTAGACGTTGTTACCCAGATGGAATGTAGGCTGTCACAATAGACGTTGATGCCCTGGTAGTTACACTAGGGGAGCTGAGCATTTGGATTCAGGGGTTTAGATAATTTTCTTCAAGCAATGAGTACAATACCCACTTCCTTGCTCTGAGTAGAATACATTACTCTTTTGCCCTCAGTATTGTCTTGCATTGTAATCTTTGTCTTCATGAGAGGGAGAGTTCTGTACTCCCTAATAGGTGGAAGAACTGAGAACCAGTGTTATGTGAATTAGTCCTTTTGCCTTAGCAAATATAAGAATACTTGTTATTTCTCTTAAAAACACAGTGAAAAACAGAGTTAAGTGATAACTATGAACTCATGACAGCAGACAAAATCTCATGAGTCTGTATCCGCCCATATACAGGGGCCAAGTGTGAGGCTACCGTGCCCAGACGCCATGTTGACCTGGTGCTGTGCGCACATGCCTGGCGGTGGCCATTCAGAAAATCACAGTGCACTTCATTGCTCGGCAGTCAAATGCGCTCACACTCACAGTCAAAACTTTTATCTTTCCAAGGTGTTTCAGACTAAAATTTTCCAAATATGATACCTAGCTTCTTGTAGATGTATCAAAAAGCCCAAAACGCCACTTGAAAAAATGCCCACTTTTAGCGGATCAAAACTTCAGAAAACTTCGCCTTTTAAACCCCTTCACGGTGGGATTATTTTGACTGCGACTGCTGGGCTGTGGCATGCCATGAATGGAGGGCTTTGTCCAGCAGCAGGCCCCATTGAACCAACAGCTGTATGGTGAATAGACTGTATGTGTGGTATGCACTAATCCTCACAAAATAGTGTGGTCCCCGCATGCTAGAAGTCAATTTTACTGCATCGTGTCTTCAGGGAGTCTTGTACACAAAAATTACACATGAGCACAACAAGTGCACAGTAGCCCATGTTGGTCTACATGTACTACTGCATTCCAGACCCAACATGACACTTACCACGTTTCGCTTCAAGTCTTTCCCGTCAATTGTCTGAAATCAGTTTGAGTAGCGTCCCCTAAAATGTTACTCCGTTGGGCAGGGCGCAATTGACAAAACAAGAAAAATATAGAAACTTATGGTGCTCTTTCTATAGTAGAAATCACTGCGTATTTTACATTCTGCATGAGGTTTTATGCTGCGTAGTTTGATTACATTTGCAAGTCGGGAAGTGTTTATATGCCAATACGCACATTACCTAAACCCCTGTGGATCACACGCACTACATCTCAGTCCCCTTTGTTTGACAATTATCTAACCCCCAACTGACAAGGACTTGTGCTGACAGAAAGGTATTAGCGCAAAAATCAGAAGGTATATTAACTTGATCAAACCCCAGACCAACTCCTATCAGTCTAAGAGGAAAGTGGGAACCGTTAAATGCATTAACCCCCTACAATCACTGGTCGCCCGGTTAACCCATATATAAATCTTATCGGTAAGTGGTAGCTTCACAGAACCAACGTCGGGAAACCTACGAGCATACACATATAAAAAAAAAGGAAAAAATACCAAACAAAAATCAACAAATAACACACATGTGAAATATCACATGTATATTTAGAAACTACAGTTTGTTATTATACGTTATGGTTGATTAAGATACCACAGGAACTTGGAGCGAAAACGGAAACCTGATAAATTCAAAGATACCAAAACTGACACGTCAGTTAGGAATGGTGCTAAGAAGAAAAAGCACAACATTGGCGGCCGCTTTGCTATGCATTGTGGGTATACAGGGCGTATTGTGGTTGATCAAACTTCCAGCAAAAAGAATTAGGCAAAAAGAAAATTTGCATATGTGGCGACTGTTTGGGTACGATGAATGCGGTGGACTACAACACGTATGTTATAACGGCATCAGCACCGAGTGAAATAGGTTTTTTGGTATGGAGATCCAGGGAACTACATGTACATGTAGGTCCACTTTTAGAATATTCCTGTAACTTGCAACTGACAAAGATCTGGAGCTACGGTTGCTAGAGACTATTTAAGTGACCAGAATTAAAAACTGTTACTGTGAAGACGAAGAAGGTCCAGACACAACTTTACGATTGTAAGTGCTCAGATATCAATCAGACTTCCATTAATCAGCAACTGCCATGTGCAAAGTATCACATTCTCTTACTTTCTTGGAATATGACACAGGTTGACATCATAACCATTACATATTAAAGGGTATTAAAAACATTTATTTCACGTAAAGTACATGTGCATGTATTTCAAAATAACGCTGAATGTGTAGCTGTTTCAAAAACATCATCAATTTAATGTTTTCCCCATTGCTCCCCCAAGATGAATAAAAAGATGCTGAGTTTTCCCGCCCTCCAAAAAATCCCCTTTTGGCCGTTCGCGCTCCAAGGCTGATTGGATGACGCCATCGCCAGAATGCTTACATGCACAGTGTAGATGTACACAGCGCACAGTACATGTACTGTACATGGCAGTATCGCACAAATGCAATAGACCATGTTGTGTAGCTTGGCCCAAAGGCAAACACTGTCTCAGTTGTTAGGACTACATGTAGGTCTTTTAATTTCTACCTTGAACTGAGACTGTGTTTGCCTACGGGCCAAGCTTAATCAAACACAACATCGTCTATTGCAAGCGTGCGATACGCATGTACTGTGCGCTATGTATTGTACATGTACACTGTACAATGAAGCATTTTGGTGATGACGTCATCCAATCAGCCTGGGAGTGCAAATGGTTAAAGGGGATTGTTTTGTGGGTGGGGAACTCAGGATCTTTTTATTCAGTTTTGGGTCATAATTAATGGGGAAACATTAAATTGATGTTTTTGAAATGGCTCCATATTTATTGTTATTTTGAAATACATGTACTTGATGTGAACTAAATGCTTTCAGTTTCTGTTACCCTTTAATGTTTACGTATCTATGCAACCAAATTAGTAACACACTTCTTCTGACATACATACATGTACATACTTTACACCTGTTGAAATGAAATAAGTTAATGTCAGTGGTGTAACATTTCAGCACATGCCTAGAAACATCGTATATGCTTACTTCAAATTTCTTCTCAAAGATTTCCTGAGCTCTCATTTTTCTGTATTCTTCCTCTCCCTTGATTCTCCTGCAAAAAAAAAAATCACATGATGATTTATCCAAGCAGCATCTTACTGATTTTCAGTCACAATGTCAGTTGTGTTGTGATTTCTGAAACATTGTGCCTGTGGTTTCGGCTCCCCATCTGGTCATTCAGAATGTTGATGTATTTTGTTAGATAAATGTTATTAACATCTTATCTTAACATCTGTATCTTGCATGGTTGTGTTTTAAGGGTGGTTAAATGCAGTGTTGATTCCACAAGTTTAACCTTTTAACAACTTGACACCGGAGGACTTGTAAACACACACAATTTTCCTTGTTCCAGCACTTGCTTAAAAATTCTTTTCATTTCTGTGGTTGATATTTTAATGCGTAGTGCTTGTTGGGTCACAGTGTGGGAGACAATCCTACACACGGGTGCTGCTACTGAGTGGACCCATAACAATAAAATGGAAATGCCTTTCTTGAGTAATTAAAAATAAATTGGAGAGCCATCACCATACACAAAGGAGTTAAGAGATAAGGTTACAAAATCCAAACTACATGTGGCAACTCCTTTGAATCCAAACAATTGGTAAAAAAATGGCCATAGGTTACATCTGTATATGATTTGGGCCTTTTGTAACCGGTCGATGTGTGGACATGTGCCAAAATTTTTACCAGAGTAGTTGAAAAAAGGGGGAAAAGAATGAAAATACTGAAGCCTAAATTCAAGAGATGTGCCTCCACAAATATTTTTGGGCTTCTTAAATAAATTGCAAGGTTGAAAAATTCACAGGAAAAAAACCGCCCCCTGCAGCTTTTAGGGTGAGAAAATCCAAAATTAATTGGCTATCTACTGTAAACTTGCACCAAGTCAACATCATACAACTGGCCATATCGCTCACGCTGGCAGTCTTACAAAGCCCCATCATCTGCAATGCATTTATACAGATTCCAAATAATTTATTTCTAAGTTGGCTTTTGTAAGTCACCATTTTGCTTAAGTCAACTCTCCATCCCATTTCCTTAAGATGCACAAAAAAATCCTTTGTGTCAATTGGTATTTAAAAACTCACGCATTTGCATCAACTTCTGCACTGTGGTGGGCAAGAAGAGTCAAATGCAAAGTCTCACACCAATGTTCATTTATTGGCACCAACCATGATTGCTGCATCAGTGTTTATGTAGTGTTACAGTTAAGCCATGTCTCAGCGTGACAAAGTGTGCACTGCTCTGACAGATCCCAGACCTTTCCCGGCCAGCAAAGTGTACATTTAAAGAATATCATACAGTATGTACATGTCATGTAAAATTGTATGGATTTTTCCTACAAAATATGTGTACGGTATATGACATGAGGGTATTATGAGGAGTCATATTGATAACGCTTTGCCTTTCCATGGCACCAAACATCAAGCAAATTACACGAGCGGTGTAGTGGAAGTGCACGAGACTTAACAAAGCAAGCATAGTACAATGGTTTCTACTGCTAAATATAGCAAGAAAGGCACGGAATAGTCGGAAATCAGAGACCCCTATGACAACTCGAAGTGCATTCCAAACTTCCATACTCCGAAAACATAAAACCTTCTGAAATACATGTACTTGTGCAAGTGAGTAAGCTCACGGAACTAGATTTCTGTTTATGCATACATGTAGGTATTTTCCGTTTTTATGCATTCATTTTGAGGTTTTACTGCACAAATTTTCAGTGGTCCAGTGGAGTGTGACTTTCTTGAGACTTTACTGGGCTAATGCAGCATTCACTGGTCCATGTACATATAAGCACTCCTTTTGCATGGATGGATCTCTGCACTTCACAAAAACCCCCACGTCAAGTCCTTGGAGCACTGACACAGAAACTACATGTATGTATCACATTTTCATTGTGTCTCGAACTAGATATTTCGAGCGTTGCATCCAAATCGCATACATGTATGCAAATGTGTACATGTATGAATAGGTCATCATTTCACGCAAGTCGGCAAAATGACGACTTACAGTAGAAGTCTGCCTTTGCGTAAGTTTTGAGACCAAGAGAGCCAACTAACATGTAACCATCTCACTGAGCATTTTGCTAGAACCTCAAGGGATCCTCAAAAATCCTGCAACCACTTTCACAAAACTTAATGCAATGACGTAACTTTACTTATATGTAAGTTGTGCCAAATTCTATTAAATAAGAAAACAAAGAAGGACAGCACTGTGTAACATCTGCCACTTGCATGACAAATTACGCTTTAACTTATGCAATTATTTTAGGTTGGGTTTATTGATCTGAATAGAACAGGAATGAAAGAATAAAGCAACGAATCATATTCGGTTAATGCTCATCACTACAGAACTTGACAGGGTTTATGCGAGAAATGTACAACTTTGTGTTCTAAGGTTAATGAAAACTTGTTTGGCTGTGAGAGAAAACTTTGGGATTTATCTACCCAGTTCTGACAAATAAATTTAAGGACTATTTAACGACTGCTGTAATATTAGAAAGGAACAGCTATTGTAAAAGCTGTTGTCACAAGTCAGTGATATTTTATGCCAACTGTTTGATTAATTTAAAGACACAAACTGTCTGCTACCAAGTTGGCCAAATGTCCTTATATGCCCTTTTATGCAAAGTAAGGTGCGGTCCTGTATGGTTCACACCAGCATGGGTACACACCAGGCATGGGGACCTGAATAGTGTTTTATAGTGCCTGCTCACTGAGGCATTGTCCAGCAGTGATAGCCTTAAATACTGGGGTGTGGTTCTGTGTGACACACACTGACAGGCCTGTGGTGAGATAGCACAAGTTTGAGCGATAGCTCAGAAGCCGGAATTATATTTAGCCTTCAGCCTTGTTGATGTGGATTAGAAATCCAGTGTTGGTGGTAGCCATAAGTTGGGTGAGCGATTTGCTGCCCCAAATTTTGAGAAAATTTTTTTTGAGCACAATTTTCAGTGTGCTGTAAGACCTCAGGAGCCAGTATATACTGTAAGTGTCCTTTTTAATTATTTTCTAATATGCAGCCATTATGTTTTGTCAAGTACATGTAAGTGCTATTACTTTATATATCTGTGACAATGGGGAGTTCAAAAGCCAATTTTAGTGACCATTTTAATGATGAAGTTTCTCCTTTTGGGTATGGAAAATTAGCAATATGGTTAAATGGTGCACAAATGTTTGCCGTAAGATGTACATGTGTATTTGCGAACATGGGTGTGATTATTCAATATTTCAGGGCTCCTTATTACGGAGTCGGAGCTCCTGTAATTGGACCTCGTTGAGTACCGTGACACAATCAAGCCAGGTCCTACATTGGCCGGATAGGGACAGCAAGTCTGCCGGAGGGGACACGGCTACCTACCTGCCTCTTGGTCTACTTAGTCCAGCCCCGACTCACCTGCATCGTCCTCGAAGGATCGGCTGAGAGTCATGTAACGGCGGCGCATTGGACAAGTGACCAACTCTCCCTTTGAACTGTCCGAATTCGGGCTAGTAGTAATTATTAACCAGCCCACCAGCCTTCTAGTTTCTATGAAACCCTTTTTTTTAATGAATCTTCTGTATTTTGCTCCCCCTTCATCAAATTGTTTTTGTGTACATAAATTAGTCTACATTGTAATTTTGAAGTTAAATTATCTGTTTGAGTGTACTGCGTAATTTACAGTGCACACATTGCATGTCAGAGGGTAGGGGGACCTGGGTTTGTGACAGCTGGGATCACCCTTGTCGTAGATGTATAATTCAAATGTTGTGTAGCTTATCAAGTTTTATGTGAAATGACCTTATGCACATTGTGCAGATACTGTAAATTTGCACCACAAGACTTGCACAAGTACACATGGAGAAAAGTTAAGCCAAGTCTCATAAAATTGGCTATCGGACCATGCAGGAAACAAATGATACATTCGGAGCTCTTCAACCTTCCTGGGACATCAAGTCCAGTGTAAAGTCACAATGATGAATGTTACCATCTAAACCTTATAAAATCCCCAAAGCTCCTGGTGGAATCCGATGGATAGCAGAGTGAAATACTTACCATTTTGCTCTGCCTGTATACATGTAATTGTCTAATGAATGATAGTTACTGCTGATGTATTCTACTTTTTGGGCAGAGGATGATGTCTACAAATTCTTACTTCTCCCTTTCCATTTTTTCCTGTTCCTCCCTCTCAGCTTTAGTCTTGGCAGCTAGGAGTCGTCTTCTCTTGACAACTGATGCAAGGTCCAAGTTTTCCTCATTCTCCTCTAAGGTTGTTTCTTCCTTGTCCTGCTTGGCATGTTTCTTTTTGCGGCTTTTCTTCTCCTTGGGTTTATCATCAGGATTGGTCTCTGATCCTGTGGTCAATTATTTCCCAATAATGAGAACAGTCTCATCAACTATGCCATTTGAAACTTGGAAGAGTGAAAACGTATGTCTTCTATCTTCCCTCTCAGACATGTGGCTGGTAATTCACAAAAAAATGTGCAAAGCCATGCAAGACATCCAGTACTTTTATTTGAGGTTTCTAATAGTAAACATAGGAAGTATTAGTAAATTACGTGTACTGGTCTGAAGAAAGTTCAATTTCTTTACTTGTACAAGATTATGATTTCTACCTGGATTCCTTGTATCATTCTGTTAATATTCTTTATATCTATTCTTGATAACTTTTTTGGATATGACATGAAAAATAATTAAAACCATACCAGCAATGCCAAACCATCTCAAACACCTGTAGAGCAAAAGTGTGTGAGTCTGTGATGAACATTTAGCAGTGTTACCGAAGATATACATGTAGGTAAAATCAAACAAGGTGGTTCCCATACTTCACATTTTGAAAGCTAATGAGTCACAACATACATAGAGTCCTTTATAAGGGTAAGAAACTGTCAATACCTTCTCCATCTGGTGTGGCACCAGCTGCCTCTGCCTTCTGCTTCATTTCTACCTCCCGCTGTAACCTCTCAGCCTCCCTCTGCTCCCTCAACTTCTGTTTCTCCTCCTTCAGCTTTTCATTCTTCTCCTTGAGAGTTTGGATCTTGTCTCGCCTACAGAGTTATGCAAGATGCAAACTTAAGTTCCCTAACACTGGAATGCTTGAAACTCTGAGGCACAAAGTCTCAACTCCCAGAGGTCAGACTCAAGATTAAGGTTCTCAGATGTACAGGTCCACAGAAGTCTTTATAGTTTCACAGTGGTGTTGCAAAGTCAGTTTTCAAAATAACAAAGTTGAAGTTGAGTTTCAAAGAGTCCATTCTGGGAAGAACTGTCATGCTGCTATTTCACGGAAGTCTCGGTCCCTAGGGTATTTCTTATTCCTTTGAATTGACTGTGGCTTCATCAATCATTCTATGATCACTCAAACACTTTGATGAACAAGTCTGAAACTGCAATTTCATGATGCCACATCCAAAATAGCCTGATAAAATGTTTAAGAATTGACCTTGATGTATGGCTGGGCCGACTGCAACAACCTACCACAGTCTAGCAGCCACTTTCTGCTTGTTGTCCATAAAGTCTTGCACAGCATATGAGGCTAGAATCCGATGGCACAGGAAGACTAACAGCTGTAATTTTTTCAGGGGCTCCAGCTCAAAGAACTCACTGGTCTCTAGCAACTCTACCAACTCCTGGGGCTGAATGAGCAGAAGAGGATAGGATTGATAGGATTCAAATACAGAGTTTTGTGGAAAACCAACAATTAATGAATTAAACCAACCAATACTCAAAAGAAGACCTGACTATACCTGTTGTTACAGCTAGTTTACCACTGCAGACATCTTCAATATAAATATGCAAATACACATACAACTCACAAGATGGAACCTAAATCGAACAGGTAAATTCACTGTCCTGAAAAATACCAGGAAACACTTTTGAGATGTACCAGTGAGAACGCGCATATGTTGCATGTGTTTTACTGGGCAATCATGCTGGGTAGTGCACATGCCCAAACATCCTAGCCTCTAGAAAAGATGGTACAGTACATTGCATTTGAAAGTTAAAGCTGAAAAAAGGAATGGGGAAAAATGCGAAAGGAATTCGCATTTTGACGACAACTTTTCCCAGCTGCAAATTTGCAGCGAATTCGCAGTGAATCGAATGCGAAAGGGGCAAACGACGTGCGAAAACAGTGCAAATGTTTTGCAAACACGGAGTGAAACATTTGCAAAAATGTTGAGAAAAAACGACGTGCGAAAACAGTGTGGAAATTTGCGAAAGCAGTGCAAAAAATTCAAAAAATTATGCGAAAAGTTGTGAAAACGAGAAGCACAGTGCAGCGAAATGCGGTGAAGAGTCCATTACACAGGCTACGTATATCTGTACATGTGCACATGTTGAGCGTCCATCCAAGTCGGTTTTACACTAGGCCGTGTGGTTGTAACGCTCAATTCTGTTAGGTCCCTTTGAGAGCACTGTAACGGGAGTCTACTGTAATTCAACTTTTCGGTGTTCAGTGCTTGTCTCCAACCCCCACCATAGCCAGCTTTGATTTCGGCTGTCACATTGTATTTTGCTCAAAACCGAGAAACATACTGCCTTGAAATTTTAATGCTGTCTCCCTCAAGTAATTTTCTGGAAATTCCAGAGAATTAAAGTACTTTTATCTCAGACTGATTTTCCTCCACTTAGACATGTGCATGTTTGAAACCACAGAAAACAAAAACTTCCTGATGTCTACATTTACATGCACAAATTCTACTTAGTGAAGAAAGCTTGCAAAATTATTTCCCCACTACCAGAGAAAATCTGTGAAAATCCTTTCCAAATTGTGAGAAAAAGTGTGGAAATCTTATCTCACTTATGGGAAAACCTGTGAAAATCTTTTCCCACTTGTGGGAAAATCTGTGGAAATCTTTTCCAACGTGCGTGAAAAGGTGTGAATATATTTTCCCACTTTTGGCACACTTTTTCACAATTTATGAAATGAAAAGGAATTCCCTGGGAAAAGAATGTGAAAATATTTTCCCCTAAAACTTTCAATCGCAATGTACCGTACATCACAATTTTACCATCAACTGCCAAAATTTTGTACAGCTATTAGCTCTTCCTGGTGATGACATACACAAATGAGTGTGTTCCGCTTTGCCTCTAGCAATGCTGTATTTGTGCATTCCCTTAGATGTGGGTTCATTAAAAACAGTACACCACAAGCAAGAATCCACTTTGTGTACATGCAGCCCTTCAATGGAAACAAAGAGACAGGTGATGAGCATCACTGGCACGGTATGCTCAATGTCC